AAACCCAAATACTTCAGCCCACCGGCAGCGCAGAACTGGCTACTTTCTGTCTCGTGTTACGGCCACTGGTCCGCCCGGTAGGACTGGTCAAACAGTGCCGCTTTAGTAGAAGTCTCCGGTCAATAGTCGGACAATAGATTGATAAAAAAGACAATTCTGTAAATCTCCTGAATACAAATGATTTCAAGTGATGTCAAACACAAAGACTGTCGCCCAGTTACTGATAGTCCTTTGAGTGATTTGTTATATGATAGATCAACTTTCAGAAGGAAGAATCTTACAAATATTTACTCTAGGAAGCTATTTCAATTTAATTTGATTTAAAAGTGTTTGTATGATTAATTAGTATGTGTAACTTTTTCATCGCCACGCAGGTGAGGTACAAGAATGGCACGATCTGTCTCGAGATCGAATCCACCAATCAGCTACTCCAAAAGATCGAATCATCCAATCAGTGGCTCATTTACGTACAGCCGGCACGAGACCGACACGAGCAGAATTGTGAATTTTACCGTCATGAAAATGGAGAGATTTTATTGCGAACTTTAAAGAAGGTGGAGCGAGGGGAACAGCTTCTGGCGTGGTACAGCGACCAGTTATCTCGAGATCTGGACATCCCATTCCTGGGGCTACATAATATACTTGGTGAGTTATATTCTTTAGCGAATGAAAAGTTTTACACCTTACAGTACGCAGATATTCTATATCTGTTTATTTATAAAAATGATCCTAAAATGATACTGATAAAATAAATATGATATTGTACACGACTTGTTTAATAACCTGCAAAACTCCTACACTAGTACGCCACGCTAGCATTTTCAGACCCAGAAAGCATAGGTTCTTAAGAATTGAACATCATTTTCCAAAATACAAAGCAATATACACAAAGTTTCCAATACGATAAAAGTTAATTAAAGTTCTTTGTTGAACAACTTGGACATGAAGTTGTAAAAATGTTGTGTTTAATTAAGTATTGGCCTGAAATATTAGTAATTATTACAGATTATAATGCTGATCTCGACATCAAGTTACGGAAAATAGGTTTAGTTTTATTCCTATTATAGGACGTGTAAGTTCTGACAACTTATAGCATCCTTTTCCATTTAAATTGTAAGATAATCTTACATCCTGTTACATTCAAATATATTCTGACATTTTAATACATTTTCTACATTGTGAGATATATGTTACATTTTAAATATTTTCTATGAAATTGCAATAAAGATATCCTTAAAATGATAAAATTGTCCTTTTAGGTTGAATTAAAAAATTACTGTAATCAATGGAATATTTGTACATGTTTAAGAGATTTTTACAATAAAAGATGTTTTTAACAAATACTACAATTATGATATGGCTCGTTGATTTATACTAACTGATATATTTCTTTCTGGTCGTTAAATAGCGACTTAGAAATATTAATAATGAGGATTTTTAGGATGAGGATGATGAAGATATTTTAATTTCATTATCTAGGTAACCAGCAGTACGAGTGTGACAGGTGTGGACAAACGTACAAACATCCCAACCCACTAAAGCTACACCTGCGTGCCCACTGTAACAAGGTAGTTGCTACTTCTACTAAAACGTCCAGTATGCCGGACAGGGATGTTCTGTTCAGACCCTATCTGCAGTGCAGTTGCCCTAGCAGCAACAAGACAGCTATCCCCGGACCCAGTCACATGCATCGTCAACACCCTCACAGCCACTGCGTCACCAGGCCGTTCCAGCACGTAACGTCACCAAACAGAACGAGCGCGTTTGTCCATCAGCAATCCAAGCGTGTCTTTTCTCATGAAGATGTTCGTCCGGTCAATCTGTCCCTGAAGGACTCTCATGGAAAATTGAGGACACCGTTCCACGAGAATCCGTTTCTCCAGCCAATACAAATCTTTAACCACATACAACCCCAGGTGTTTCCTTTTGCAACGGGAACTATGACGTCACCGCCGTACAGATGTTGTGACACATGGACCCCCTATGCTGCCGTTTTGTCTCATCATCACAATCAGAATAACACTATCTGGTCAGCTGGGCAAACCAATGCCCGCGTTCAACAGTTAAATAATAGACAAAACAAATATCGAGGCAACCAAACGCCCGCCAAACTTCCAGTTCCAGTTGCAATGCCTTCTGAAGAGGATGGAGAACCGCTGGACTTGCTTCCTAAGTCCTTTTTTGCAAATAGGTCAAAGAAAGGACACTATTGCATATACTGTGGGAAACTTTATTCCAGAAAATACGGTCTTAAAATTCACCTAAGGACTCACACAGGCTACAAACCATTAAAATGTAAAGTTTGCTTGCGACCCTTTGGTGACCCAAGTAATTTGAATAAACACATTCGTCTTCATGCACAAGGTGAGACGCCTTACCGCTGTGACTATTGTGGAAAGGTTCTCGTTCGTAGGCGAGATCTAGAAAGACATATCAAGTCACGTCATCCTAATACTACGGGCAGCGGGTTTGTGATGCCAAATGACTGTCCAACAGATTTAAACTCGCCAATATCCAAACATGACAATGACCCAGAGATAGTGGTCGTTTAAACGTTTGTCTTCACCGGCGTCTCAAGCTTGAACGTGTTTTTTGATAAGACGGTAAAAGTCATGAAAAGATTGTTTAGAAAAATGCATTTAATTATATTGTATGTACGTTATCTGTCACATGTTGATACTATCTGTATTGCCTGAATTGTACCGGGTTTAAATAAATATAACAATATATATCGTTTTTCAATTTCTTCTGACTATCCTCAATGAATTGAAACATGTAAGTTGTATAGGCCATTGTTGTCTAATACTGTTCGTTGAACAGAAATATCGATGAAGTTAGGTTGGATTTCTTACCAATGCCATGCCTTCCGTCATATTATAAGTATACGTTGCATAGGTTTATTCTATTTTACCTACAGTTTTCTTTAACTTGATAATTTTGTATATGTTTCTTAATAAAACGGTGATTTTGAACTTTCAGAAACTACAGACCAGTCCAGTGTAATAATAATATTCGTCTGCGTCGATATCGGCAGAGACTTAAATACCCAGCAGATAGATAGTCAAAACCTTTCGCACTAGTTGTCGAGACACAGAACAGTCACTTTCACTACCTATTAACTGATATACGATAATATAATATCAGTTTTAGACATCCTAAACATCCAGGCGGGTTTCTATCATTTACGGTTTAAGAAAAAGTATTGAATAAACATTCTAAGACTTTTTTTAATCGATTTCAGCTCGGATGACTACTTTTAAAACGGAAAATATTATTAGAAAATTTGTTGAAATAGAAAAGTCTTTATGAAAATCAGTTATCGTCCGAAACGGTCATTTAAACTTGAGTAGCTCAGGGTTCAGTTCTAGGGCCGCGGCTATTTCTATATTATATATAATATCGATCTTATTTTTATCTATATTTATCTATTTCTTATCTCATTAATCAAATAACAACCTCGAGTTATAAATAAAGAATAACTCAAACTTTGGTCTGACAAATGATCACTCTCCACGAAGGTTAATTCAAGATTAATGATGGAGTTGATCCTTTGTCGTAACAACCAAAGTTTCGTTTTGATGGAAAAACATTTGTAGCTCATATTAGTGCTGACGGTCTGTTCATATAGATGTAGAATCATAAAATAAAAGAAAGAATAATAATTGAATATATAATTATGATCTTGAAATAGGACAAAATGAAGAAATTATACTCTGTTCATATTTGACATCATTGAGAATATATTGGGAGAAATGCAGTAAAATTACACAGCAGTTGTTGGAATTATCCAGTATACAACCGCTAGTATTATAACGGGGCTCGATATACAACAGTCAGGGAATTATCAAATACAAGTGTCCTCTCAGTAGATTTTTTAATTTCCTAGAAGCAGTAAAATTAAATCAATACCTTTAACATCTAGATTTCAATCATTCACATTCGTGAGTACCGTAAATTGGGAATTTTTGTCCTATTTTAAATGTTACGTCTGTATTATTTCTCCCTAATATACCGGCTGTCAAAAACACAGAACCTGATTGTTTTTCTCTCGTAGTTTAAACTTACTATCTATTGCTTTGACTAAGAAATGAGCGATTGTAAGTCTCGATTTAGCTTAGTTTCAATTTCAACATAAAGTGTAGAGAATCTTAAGATAGAGTTATCGTCATCAAAAATATCTTTTATTTATATTCAAAATGTCAGGAGCTTAGAATAGAAACCCTTTGGTACCCCTGCTTTGATACAAGTACAACCCCGAACTGAGGAAAGCAAGTCAGAAATGAAAACTCTCAAGTTTCTGTGACAAAGGTAAACTTTAAAATATCCTAAAGGGTTTCCAGTAACTACATCAGATTTTTGTTTTGCCAGTAAACCACTACAGCCAGAGATCATGTTACATCGGCATTTAGCATTGTCTTATGAAGTGTTTAGATATGGTGATGCGCACGTGTACCCTCATATAGAAAAGTTATTTCGTCCAAGAACTGTCATAGTAAGGTGAATACGAAGACACTTTCTGGAAAAGCGTTACATGAAACATACACACTCAAATTATAAGCTTTCAATTGGTCAAACTTCGGAATACATTTTAGAAAAATAGTGAAATACTGAAAACATCGAAGAGTTTATTGGTGCAATTTACAACATACTGATACAGTTTATACATAATAAAATTCGTAGTAATATTTGACCATATCGATTTAGCCAATTTTCGATGTATCGAGCGTATTTTCACGTAGCACCAATTAAATCATTGTTAATTAATGGAGTCAGCACTCGTTGTAGACGCACTTATAGATGTATTTTCTCCTCTGTTCAGTGTGTTATACACGTTGTGATGTGACAGGTACCCCGCATGCGCGGACACCGGTATGTGCGAGTTGGCGAAGGATGCCAACATAGCGGGATTGTGCAACATCCGGTTCGCCATGATTGACGGGATTTGTCCTGGGTAAGGGAGGGGCATAGGGATAAACATACTAAGATCCCTTGCGGATGGGTTACAGCCTAGGCGCTGGGCGAGGGACGTATGTGCCTGTGGAATAGATGGGGTCGCCATTTGAGTTCCACCAACGGCGGTTGCCGATACACCGGAAGTAGTCAAGCAAGGTTTGAATACAGACAGGGCATCGTCCGCCCTACTCCTGGACACGGTTTGAGAACCGACATGTCCGCTGTCAGAGGAAGGCGATGAAGGACGCCTCGGATTCTCACTGTCGGTGGGTGTAATTACAGGATTAGTGTTTCGGATATTGTCATTGCTTTGATGTTGATAGCTAGTACCAACAATATTGCAGTCGGTTTCATAGTTCTTGGTTTGGTGACTATATGGTGAACTTTCGGTGTCGTCGTTGACTTCTCGACTGTCATTACCTGGATTACTACCGGTTGCAAATCCATTGGATAGTTTGTTAAACTTGCCAGATTGTCCATAAATCGAGTCACTGGAGGCATAACGCTTCCGTTTATTTGATGGACACGGCCATATTCTTTTTTCTCCAGACGTCGGTGACAGGTTGGTTGTATTTGGGTTTTCCACCATGTTGGCTTGAACGGTCGAACGGCCTGAATGTGGCATGTCCAACGGTTCCACCACATTAGTCTTTATAATAGTACTCTTCTGAGGTGGTGCCACGGTTGAGATTTTTCGGGGGACTGTAGAGGCGGTCACCGTTACCGGACCTTCACCGGACATGGCTCCAGGCGACAATGTGATGTTGAGTGTAATGCTGGCCGCGGAATGGTCAATCAGTGTGATGTCATCTGTGACTGATTTATTTGAGATATCTCCATCTTTAGATTCTTCGCACTTAATTTCACCTATAAATCAAATATAATCAGTCACTATAACAGTTTTACAGTGGATATGACACATTTCTAGCTACTGTTACTGTCACAGAACTACACACTTCTGCATTACATCAAAGCCAACGTAAAAAGTGGTGATGAAACAAAATTGAGAGAATCAAACTGTATAAAAGCGACAGTATCTTTACGTTTAGTGACGAAAGGAAATCTTTTCCAAAACATTATTTCCCTATGTACTGGTCAAAAACTATTCATTATATTATATGTACTGACAAATAAACTTGCTGTTGACAAGTTAACAACCTGTGTTGGGGTCCCGGGATATCTGAATCCGTTTCAGCCACCCTTCAAATCCAGTGAAACTTTCGGGGTCTAACGACTGTAGCATTTCCCGGAACTTGTTCTGGGCGCTTTGGATAACTGCCATGGCGGAGACATTCAGCGGCGAATCATCTTATGTAAATGATAAAAGGTCTATGAACAAATATCACAATAACATGTTTAAAGGTATCAATCATTGAAAGACAAGATGAGAATGATCAGTATAAAGAATACAAAGAATGATAAGCTAGTTGTTGTTACTAAGATTACTTTACAGGCCGGTAAAAATACACTTGATATCAGTTGTGAAACACATGCACTTTTTTTTTCTAAATATGGCAAGGTAGCTGTCCTTTGACTATAGTGACAATACAGGTCCGCGTTATCGTCCGTTATGTGTGTCATTCAACTTGTGTCATATCTTCAGACCTATATTTGGAGAGCGTCCTTGATATCCAACAGATTCTAAAGTTCTCAGAACATCGGAAACGGGTTATCAGGCTGCCGTCCCGATAACATCCGGGACAAGGTGTAGGCAGTTCTTCAACTCTCCAAACCGCTAACAGCTGGGACGATATGTCGTTTAGATATCAAATGGAAATTCCACTTATGATTGTATAATTCCTTGAGTTAAACAAAAAATAACTGAATACAGTTGATTGATATACTAACAATCGGCGATGCTCTAACGATAATATTATGATTTAATACCAATTACTCACAATTACGATATGACTGAGGACAAATCCTTGTTCATAATCTGGTACCGGTCAAAATGTACCTTTCTATGACTTAAATAGAACAATACAATACTTTATTAAAATGTATGTCTATACTTACCGAAACGAGAGGTTCCTTTGGCAGCATATTAAACAGTATATTCCAGAAGTAGAAATATCATATATATACAATAATGTTAGGAATGGAATTTGTATATTTTTATATTTATATATATATAAATTCAATTCCTAACATTATTGTCTACTCACATAAATTGCAGTATAGGACGTCGGCAGTAGTGGCGGCAATAGTTTGACGTTATTTCCAAAACTTAAAAAATGCTTGTTTAACTTGTGCTCGTTTTGTGTAAAATACCAGACATCAAAACAGGCATCAATATTCTTGTTGATATTCCATTTCATAGCAAATCAGAGAGAAAGAAAAATGGCCGTGAGACCGGTATGGGTAATATGTTCGTTTCCCGTGTAATCTTACCCAGGACACTGGTGCTGAGGACGGACGTAGGGGCCGTCCGTATACTACCAAGGACACTTATGCTGAGGATGGACTTGGAAACTGTCTGTATACTTACCCAAGACATTGGTGCTGAGGACGGACTTGGGAACCCTCCGTATACTTCCCAAGGACACTGGTGCTGAGGACGGACTTGGGAACCATCCGTATGCATCCCAAGGACAGTGGTGCTGTGGACGGACTTGGGAACCATCCGTATACTTACGAAGGACATTGGTACTGAGGGCGGATTGCACAACATGTCTCGTATGTGTGTTCCTACCACATTACTGGGGCGTAGGGTGGCTAAAGTCGTTTCCGTGTACTTACAAGGACACTGATAGTAAAGATGGATTGGGAACTATTTCTGTATGCTTACCAGGATACTGATTGTAGTATTTACCGTAGCAACACTAGTTTATTATGAGGAATTATGTACCTACCCTGTGTACTGGTATTAGCGGACGACTGGGGAGATCGTGTGTCACTACACGAGGAACTGCTCCGGGAGAGAATAGTGGATTGTTGGACGGGAAGCTGTAATCGTTGCACCTTCAAGTTCTCCGCCTCATCCCGAGACCAGTTGTCAGGTATAGCAGTACCCGTTGGTTGTCCAGCCACAGTATCTCTCGGCTCCTCCTTAATCCTGTCCACACTTGAATTATACACTGGCGTGTTCTTCCCGCTGTCGATTTTTGGAGATTCTCTAGCGGAATGAGGAATAGACATAAAGGTGCAGATGTTTTTGTCAGCTTCTGGTGAGTGTCCCATGCGATTGAGTGTAGTGTATGATGTAGGAGAGACGGACGAGGAGGGAAGGTTGGTTGTGTAGCTCTCCGACAGAAGGGACTCAGCCGGAGGATTGAGTGCTGCCCGGGGGAGACCTGTGATATCACGGATCATACGGACAAGATCGCTAAGTTTATTGACACCCATGGCGCATGTCCGATACCATGCTTGCACGGGGGATGGATGGAGGGTTGTAATACCAAGATAAAATGGCGAATTGTCGTGTTGCATGTTTGGAGGTCGTTTTTGACTGTAAAGTTTGTAGATTCCAACAGGATCTCGCTCAGGTACCTCTGGCTGAGCCCATATACACAGCTTCGTGTACGACGAACGGCATTGCTCAGGTTTGTTTGTCGGGCTTGTGGTACCTGCGGTGGTTGCCGGTGTGTTTGGGGTGGTGATGTTGCCATCGAGCTGACCACGATTAAGGATAGGCTCATATAGAATATACTCCTTCCCACTCTGATCCGCCCGAAGTTTGATGTCTCCCCAGACTAAATTCTTGTGGTCGATTGCCTTTCGCAACCGGAAGTGGACGATGAACATAAAACACATACTGTTAATGATAGACATTGGTGTGTATGGTCCCATCTCGCGCGCGGTAAACAGCTGATTGACTTTGTCTAAAGTCACTTTACCGAAGGGTTCGTTAGGTTTTTTGCTGCCTTTTCCAAGCTCTCGTAACCTTTGCTGCTTATATTTTAGAGCGTGTCGTGTATTAACAAAAACAATATCACGGGTGACTGAGGCCTGGTAACTCTTCATCTTAAGGTACCGCTCCACACTACAAAGCATGCCCCTGAGACTTGCTGGCTCGTACTCATTTCCATCGTGTTTCTTTACAATTGTGAAGAAGTTAGATAGATACCTGTCGAGTTCAATTGGTGGTATCGTCTCCGGTGGTCGGGAGTCATTCAGGGACCGGAGATAGGCTATAAGAATCCGTATGTCCGTGTCTGTCTTCCGTTGTGTATTTCTGTTTTCCATGTTGATTCCAAGATCTTCTTCTGTCTCCGGTCCGCCATAATCTGAAGAATTAATAAGACCAGACATACTAGAGTACGCGGCATGCTCTTTTCGTAAAGAAACCGCAGACCATAAACGATGGTTTTCCGTCGCAACGTTTTCCTCATTCGACTCATCTACAAGATCTTCGTCGCTGTCGATAGTCAATGACTCGTCGTCTGAATCATTATCCCTACTGTCATTCATTATTTCCATTTTGAACAAATCTTGCACATAAACACTAAGAGGTCTAGGTCCGTCCTCGTCGTATTGATGACAGTTTTCAACTGGTACTGTGTTCGTACCAAAGGGGAGGTAATTGAGAGATAACGTCAGTGACGATATTGGTCATATCGACTGATAGCCGACGGGTTATACAGATAAGGCGGAACACTCCTGTACTACATATTACCTTCACCACACGATAACAGGGTCAGATAAAAGTTTGAGAAAAATAAAAAAGTCAGAAAAAAAGTTTTATTTTCAGTGCTTCTCATTTTATCAGTGGAATGGCATTCGGAATGGAAAAAAAACCCATTTTCCTGATAGTGAATCTTTTATCTGTAAGTGGGATATTCTCTTATTATTTTTGTTGAAATGACAAGTCGACAAGCTTCGAAACTAGGTACTAAAGCATTCTTCTTAAATAATTGTAGTCACAAAAGTGGAAGTACAACGCCAAAATCATAAAGATGGTTAAATCCAACTGACGATCTCATGCCATGTAATTAACCAATTGTCAGTCAGGAGCGTTTTGGTAAAATAGCTGCACCATGGTAAGGCATGAAATGCTGTAATTTGCATGACTTACTCTAACTTAATAGTAATATGGTGGCTTGTAGGTTTAGGCATGTGGACTCTCTTTTTTTGCGATAAATACCACTTTTAAAAACTAGTTTACATTCACTATCACACAAGCATTAAGCATTGGTGTATTTCTCCTTTTCTCTGCTCTATGACACCAAGGATTCTACTGTACTTGCCAGATCGTCCCCTGCTTGTGACCTGACCTTTAGGGGTTGGTAAGGGTGTGATATCTCCAGGTGACAGTATACTCACGGCGGCGTTATCGGCTATGACACGGGAGCTCGTGAGAGGTTCTATCCTCTGTCCTCGCTCATGAGTCCCGAGATAGGACCGGTCGTATAAAAAATAGCTATAAGTTCCCAGATAGGATGGGCTGTATAATTGTGGTTATAAATCCCGAGATGAGACGAATCGGTATAATTTTTGCCGTAAGTCCTGCGAAAATTGAAGTTAGTCCTGACAAGCCTTATAATTATAATTACAAGTTCCACGATAGTTAGGGCCGTATAATTGTAATTTGAAGTCCGAGGTAGATGACAAGCCGTGCAATAGTAGTTATAAATACCAACATAGGACGGACGTATAATTGTAATTATAATTCCCGATATAGGACGGACCCAGTATAATTGTAGTTACGAGATAGGACAGGTCCTAGTCCCGCGATATAACGGATTCTTTTATTACGACCAAAAAAACAATGTACTCAAATGTTCTGTAGTACACATGATTACGAAGAATCAACATTGAAAACTTATATGTGTAATATGTGGAGATAACCATAACAAGTCTAAGTGCTTTATTTACAAAGAAGCACGCCGCTCACGCTTCGACAGTATCATTTAAAACAGAGAACCCCTTTTAGGCCTAACCGATATTGTAGGGCATAGCTGTGGACTAGGGGAGGCAACTCGAAAGTACTTAATTGATTCCAAGGTGATCAAGAGTAGTAGACGTCGACAAACACTTACGTTCACCGGCGAGACAACGCCTAGTGACCTGTTACCAGGCAACAAACCAACCGAAAAGAGGAGTTTCTGTACAATCTTTAATGATTTTTTATTGTGTATAAAGTGAAAAAGATACACATTGACAGGTTTCAAAGTTAAAATTCAGAAACAAAATATTATACTAAAAAATCTAAGCACTCATTTTGTTATGAAATTTTCAATTATGTCGCAACATCATCGTCTAAATTATGACATCACAATCGATTTCTATTTCATACGAAAATCTCTCCCTGTATATTAACCTATATTTAGTTAAATCACAGAAGTCCATCATTACATACACAAAATATTGGGCGAATTCACTGGATAACGGGTCGATAATGAAATAAAACTCTATGACGGGTAGTATCAAGGACAATCTGTGTGTAGTAGTGTGTCATGGAAGTACAGTTTACCGTGGATAATAGTGGCGTATGTATTCTAAGAAATTGGTAATATCGACGTGAAAATATAAAGTTTATTTACATTTTACATAAATTTCATATTTCACAAACATAAACGAAACCATGGCATTATCTTTATTTCATATATATTCCTTTATCTTAAACTGAGATGTTCCATCGCCGCTACCATTCTTTTTATAAGCTTTCGTGGGGCTCAAAAAATCCAGAAAATATTGCCGACCCTTGTGATGCGAGTCGTTTAATGTTGAAAATGACATGTCTACAATTCAGTTTCATTATGATAGATATTTCATATATATCTATATGTGTAACGACTGGCTGCAATAGTTTTTTTTATAAGTGAAAATAGTAATGTGAAGACTGCAACATGTATCCGGTCTTGTAAGAACGGCGGAGCTAAAGTCATCGCGACCGCAACTTCCACTGCGCATTCAAACTTGCGCATATCAAACCAATATGGAAGACAGCGTTACGACAGGTGTCAGCTGAAAATGTGAATACCAAACTTTTTGGACACTTAATATTTTGATGATGATATTTTTTTGTGTTGTTTCAAATATTATTTTCTAAATGAGGTAAATTGCAACTTCTATTAAGGTTATTCGTCGTGTCTGCTGTGGTATTTGTTATTGTTTCATTTCATACCGATAGGAATTTGACTTTGTTGACGAAAATGTGAACTACTGAGATCGATCACCTACGGTAATATTTGGAGAGGCATCCAACTACAACTTTCCAATTTCGCCAGTCTATTTGCTGTTATGTATATATATGTTAATATTTACGCCCCATCGTCATTTCGTCGGTTGCCTCCAGAATCTTACTTCTGGAATAAAGGTTCGGTTTGAGAGGGGTGTAATCTAAGAGTGTATATGCGTACATACGTACTGGGTTAAAGAAACCTGTTAGGCCAACAGTGAATGTAATAATGGATAGGGCTATTGTAATTTGGATTTTGTCAATTTGTATAAGTCAGTTTCATAATTTTATGCAGTTGTCCAGTACATGTAAATCGTTTTTCTACCACTCGGAACATTCATTTCATTGTATTCAATTCAGCAATATATATTGGGGGAAATATAACAAGGAAGCAGTACGATCTTTTCCACGGCAGTTACTGTTATTTCCACATTTAAGACAATATAAAATATGAAACTTTGAAACAAGCATAAACCAGGAAGAATAAGATTACTTTCAATATAGAAGCTTCAAAGGGACAATTCCGATGAAGTTTTATAATGTAAATATCCTGGAACTTGAGGTTACTGTCAGAGTTTAAGATTTGTACCTATGCATTCATATCATTATGTTTCAGTCTGCAGTTTCCTGAATGGAAGTGACTTTCTGATTTATCAGCATCAAATCAAGTTGTAATGTTTGTCACTATATAAGAAGATGGACACTGGTCAAGTGGTACTTCAAGACCCTCCAAAGAGGGCACCTCCTCTTGGGAGCCCCACGCACACTGCAGTGACAATGACCCATATCAACAGTACTAACGGCATCTCTCAAACTCCAACACGGCCTTACAACTGTGACCATACAACAGAGTCTGCCATGTTTCCAATGACAGCTGTGATTCCATCCGAACCCAAGAGAATGGTTACCATCAACAATAACACAGAACACGACAGCACTTCAAAACATCAGCAAGAGAGTGGTTTTTCCCCACTGATACCAGGAAATCAACCTATTCTCAGTGCACCAGGGAATCCATCTGTTCCAAGCACCCAGCAGAGCCAGTCAATTACAAAGAATGGCATTGTTTATGATGGACAAACCAAAAGGTAAGTGCATACTTGGTAGTCACATGTTGAAAGATATTGGAAATAAGGTACATATATCCTTGAAGTTATTAATTTGTCACAGTCTGGTACCCAATATGTTTTTAACAGGATCTGTAACAAGTAATAATTTTAACTTCAAGGACAAGATTTGACAACATTTGATCATATATATAGATCTTCGGCCTTGAAATAATATTTGCGCACTATTTTGTTTTATCATGATCACATCATACAAAATCATATCGTTTAGAAGAAATGACTTCAGATTTATGCAGAGGAAATATTTAAGTTGATTCGGATGTCAACACTATGTATGTGTGATTGTGGTATATAAGAAACAGGAAATAGACCATTGTAATGTGGTGGAAAGTTCGCCTGCTATCTATGCTAACTCTTAAGTTATTAAGTATACATTGTTACGTAACCGAATGGGATTTATTTCTTTCGGCATGAACTGTATTTTTGACATCCAACTTTTCATAATTTGGCAAATACTTTTCATTACAAAAGACTTGGTGAAAATGTTGTCATCTTATGACTGAATTGTTACTTGAGTGAAATACCTGGTACTATGATGGAAACCACTTAATTTCATGTTAGTTAATGTCACTTTCTGATTAATATCATATTTCCTTGAAATTGATTTTTTTCTCTCTATATTCTATGTAATCATTATCTGGTAATGTCACTTATTTTCATATGGGCAATGCAAAAATATCACTTCATTTTAATGACTATCAAAAAGAAAATTAAAAAAAACACAGGTAAGTTAGGACAAGAACAATTGAATCATGTCACAAGAGCAATACGTCACACTTGAACGCCTTATGTAAACATCTTTACTGCCCTCCTGCCCAACTTTTCACACCTCAGTAGACCAATAGATTGACCCATATATCTGTAAGGTCCAGGGGAGTCTGATACATTTATTTGGTAATTGGCTAGTGCAGTCCAAGTGTTAAGATTGGTCTTAAACCCTTTTTCACTTGGAACTTCTCATGATTGTTGGCCAAAGACGTGTGTGTGTTGGTGCCATGCCACTGGTTTTCCAACATGCTGTTGATACTTCTGAAAATGAGTCTTTGGTATGCATCAAAAGATATGATGAGGAAATAATCAAACATGAACCTAAGTTACAATAAATTGTGTTAGTTTTGTTTCTTTTTACAATAACCCATGGGACACCAAATCGTGGCATGTCAAAGTCGTCATTACGGATGTTGCCATCTTTAAATTTACTTAAACACAATTCCGATACAAAGTTTAAGGAAGCTAAAATAACTGATTTGAGGTTCAAGTTTCACGAAATGAAGTGTGGATTAATCAAAAATAGAAAATTATCACACATGCCATGAAAAGCTTTGGGAGCTGCTCACCTTGTTGTTGAAATGATTATCATCCTTCCCACATGATTTGTACAAGGTACATTATGTATTATATGGAATGATGATTGCAAATCAATTTGGTCATATCGAAACATTGATGTTTTTATCTTTTATTAAAATCATTTATTGCTTATATTATGTTTTGTACCTACAACTGTCAAATGGTTAAAATACGCGTATGGGTCAGCATTTTTTACATGGGAACACATTATTCTGAAGCAGTACCAGAGAAGTTTAAAGAAATGACACGTATGAAATAAATTATATTTCACTGTTCACTCCTGTATAAACTAGCACATATTAAGATTGTAACCAGTGTGTTTGAATTTAGGCAAATGTTCGTGAAATTTGATTTCCTTTTTATGCAATGGATACAGACTTTAAAGCCAGGGCCATTATGAAAGGAAATAAGTGTTGTTTTTCTTTTAAACACTCTTTGTATGTTTTTATTACAGCAGGTTTATATAGGATTTATTTGAAATAAATGTTTTGAAAGTTACAAGTATACACCATCTGATTTACTTTTACTAACAGTCCATGAATTTAAAACCCAGAAAACTGTTTTTGTAGACATAGGATACAAATCAGGTTTATGTAGGCTTTAAACGTCTTGTTACACTAGATCTTGATGTGTACATTAATTAAAAGTCAGCTACATGAATTATCTTGGTGATAGTCGGTGCCATCACTCTGTATACAGACCACTTACCATTGATACACAATCATTGATGTCTAGATTTTACCAGCTCCTTACTTGGTACATGTTGGTATGTAGGTCACTGTTAAAGGACCATATATTTCTTTGTTTGATGATAATGAGTATCTCGTATATTTTATCATACACATACCTGTCTTCTGAAGCTCTGATCTGTCAATAGTTCAAGATCCCTGCAATACAATCTGAATTTCTGAGATATGTATATGTGTGTGTGTAGGAGACAACACATTTTGTGATCTAAAATGATTGTTATCTGTCTAAACTGGATGTCACCGAGATCAAAATACTTGACTGGTGTTAAAAGGTGCAAGGTGTAGAAGGGGATGGGTAGATTTTAGCATTCAAAATATGAATATTACATAAAACTTGATCATACAAAGCAAAAAAATTTAATGTTTCAAATAAGCTTTCTACTTTAATTTAGAGTCTTTAATACAACAAAATTTGAGAAAACTGTGGTCTGTGACTATTATTTTGTTTTCTAAATACCAGTGAGTATGATGTGATATTTACAATGATGTTCTTCTTGCTAATGTGAGGGATCCTACGCTACATGGAACCACTGCTAACCACCAGGGAACAAATTAAATTAGGAGTAGCAGAACCATGCTAGTTTTTAGAATAGACATTAGACAGGATTCAAATTACTTCAGGCAGGTTATACTGTAATACATTCTTAAGGGTGATGGAAAGATGTCTTTAATAATATCATTTCCTAGATATCACTAGGTTTACAAGGAACATATATATAAGGTTATTACTGTCAGAGATTGCATTGAGCTCAAAGTTTCATTTATATGGATGCTTCATGATGAAGTCTTCAGCTGCGAGGTTGCTGTTCCTTGTAGTTGAAACCCTCAAGTTACACACTTAGAACTAGATGATATTTGAGACATATATAGCTATAAGGCAATAATTGATACAATTTAAAAAAATGTGTTTTACCTATTGGATTGCTAACAATATATTTGTTGTTCTTTTTCATGTTCCATAAAGTATTGATTTAACACCATGCTGATACAGTCTTAAAGATTAAAATCAGTGATGTTTGTGTGATCTCCATTTCAGTGGGTCTGGCTTAGCTATTTCTTGGGTAAGACTTTAGCTCCTATTTTTATTGAAGCAAGACCTTGGGTTTCTGTATGCTTTAGAAAGAATCCACAATACCACCTGTATTTGATAGCCCTTGTTCAACCTTTTTACACCTTTTGAAATTGTTTCCCAGATCCCTGGTGCCCAGCATCAGTGACAGTGCTGTGTTTGGAAGCAGTCTCTCCATTGGGGTACAGGTGGGCGGTCTCCTAACTGCCCTGGCTATGATGGATCCAGAGCAAGTATCTTATCCATGACTCTCACCACTACCTGTAGATAGTCTGTGGTTTTATTTCTGATGCCTTATTTCAGTACACATGGACACATACCAGTTGTTATGAAAATAGTTGTGGTACATTTGTACATGCAAGACACTGTTTCATTCTTTGAAACTATTATTTGTATCACCATGTTGATGTCAAAATTCATGATATTTGAATGTTGTGAAACATTTTTATGATTAAATATAACTTCTAAAGAGATATTGATGTGAAACATTAGATATTACTTTATATAAAGAAAAAATGAAAATGTATCCTGCATGTCCTGGTGTTCAAGAGTACCCTAGCTATTAGACACAAGTTGGTGTGTTGGTTATATATTTTTGTTTGACTTTTTATAGAACTTTTTTGGTGTTTTCGATACTTCATCTCTTTAGTTTTATTTCTTTGTTGATATGGTCACTATATTGATGTTGTAACGATACTGGTACATGGTTTCCTGTTTTACCGGCTTCTGCTTTTGTTTTATCCGGTACTGTCTTTTAGTTTCTTCTATTGTTGTTGCTATTTCAGAAGTTTGTTTGAAGTTTATTTGGCTGATAATTGGCCTCATTCTGAATTGAAATTATTTCATATTTAAGATGATTTTCCAGAATTTCCAATATATTCCTTAAAAGTTCTTTCCCAACTCACTAATTTACTTCTGAAAATATAGCAAAAATGTCTGTCCTAAACAAGTGGGAAAAACCCCCATTTTGTTTATGTTGATACAGACATAAAGATCCTATGATATATTGCACTCAATGTAGGTCTTGTTTAGTTGGTGTTGATATATATTTACAGGATAGATATTCCTATGTCATAAATAATTAGAGTTTGAAGACTTCCTGTACATCCCTTTACATGCTTATAAAATTGTTTAAACTATTGGTATAATTTCTGATCTCTGATATAAGAAGATTACAGAATTTTATTTCTAGGCAGCTACATATGTACTTTGTATGTATTGTACATAGTCTCGGGAGTAAGTTTTTACTGTGTTTTGATATATGAATAACCAGATCTCTTGGTTTACTGCCTTAGATTAGTCAATAAATAGCAGATTCAGGAAAAAAGATATATGTACTTAAAATGTTTATCTGACAGTACTGTATGTATATGTATGTGTTGGTGATGGTGTGGTGTTGGTCTCTCTGTAACCTGTGAAAATCTATAAGAGATTAAAGTATTGATATTTTACATACATTTTAAATAAACATCTTTATAAGGGAACTATATACAAATGCTTAAAACTTGTACAAAGAAGATCATTTAACCCCAATCAATAGTACAATGTGTTTTTCCAGGGAGATAACTGTTATATAAGGGAAAGTTATCTCTGTACTTAAAGGAAAGAAACAAATCATCTAATCTTAATCATAAGCAAGATACATATTTGATCAAATTTGTAATTTTAATATGATAATTTTCTCAATTTATAGATGTTGAGGTGAGACATTACTTGATGTACAGAAAATTAATAACCCTTTAGAATTATTGTATGTGTAGTGTAAATAGTAATGATAATTATAATAATCATAAAAG